AAAAAATGAGGGCTGGAAAGATCGGCAAAAGCGTGACTGAAACTTCCAAATCGTAACTGGGAGGGGGGCACTTCGCCGCGTCTGTGTGGCCTTTCCCCTAACCAGGGCGAATGTTTGAGGCGCAGACGACGAGAATCGTGAAGGGTTAGTCTCGCAGAGACATAGACTCTACTAACCCGGAACTTTAGTAACCGGTTTGAACAATTTCTATTCCAGTTCCCGTTTAAGGGCACCTACGAAAGGGAAATCGATTAATCTGTAGTATTTCTCTCCCTCTTGAAGGTTTTATTGAGTATTTTTGTACTGGGGCGGATGTGGTGTAGTGGCAGTTGGCACGCTTACCACGTGCACGGTGCGGGGATCAAATCCTAGATCGACTCCCACCCAGGCCAGCCAAACCTCCGACCTTCTGGGGACGGTAATTTGGTACCATATTCGTCTGGGAGGACAAGAACTCTGACGTGTCATCGCAAGTCATTGTATAGGCCATAGCCATTCAGTAGGCCCTAACGTTCCTGAGTGGAACTAGAATGCGTGCTGTATCCCAAAAGGGAACTTGTCAACGCCGAAGACCGTGCCCCTTTTGTCCTATTTTAGTTTCACTCATTATTCGCTATCTTTTGTAGAAAATCGTCAAAATCGCCAATAAATCATGATATTAGGTTGTTCGAAAAGTAATGCGACACTTTGACCAAATTTTTCGGACTAAATTTTCCGTCACTAAAAGACATCTCCAATCTACAAGGTAACCGCAGTTGATGACTAGGACTAGTGCCCTTCTTTTGCACAGCTTCTCATTTCCATTCTCATAGAACTACGGCAACTATGATAAAAAGAAGAGGTGGACCTCATTCTCGAGTTGAGGTCGATTTTCGGAATTTTTGCTTTTTAAAGGATGCGATAGGGACCAAAGGAGGTGGTAATTAGAGGCTGCTAACTTTGTTAAATAACCTGGGTACGGTCGCATTCTCTGATCGAAATCCATGATCTTTTGGCGTAGCTGATCCCCACATGCGGGTCTTCTCCGCATTGCCGAGTAGTATGCAGAAAAATTGACGTATTCTGTAATGAGTTCAAGCTTCGTACGTCATCCACGTTTTTGAATGAAGTCGCATTAAGCGGTGGACTGTTGGTCTTACAACCCGGGTGCTAGTACCAGTATACCGCTGTAGAAGTCCCAACCAGATAACACCGACTGGAAATCTTTATCGCCAAGCACATTCTGGTTTTTGGCTAAGCATTCTTTTGTTGAGCAGGTCCTCCGCGAGCGGACATGTGCCATGGACTGTACGCAAAAGAGTCCAACAAGAAATCACTGCCAATCACAAGATCTCACAGAAAGTTCTTTCGATCGCTGTACAAAGCGAAAGAAAAATCAGTCCGCATCCTTCGGCATGACTTGTCAGACGGGTCCAACTCATGAGACCTTCACAAAAATTTTTTCCGATAACCGAGATTGCGGAGAAGCATGGCAGTTGTCAGTCAGGTGGAGCCTAGAGAGGTTGCCAACTTACTGGTGGTTACCTTCGGCTGCTGCGTCCTTAAACAACGCTTGCATAAAATGGCCGCTCATTCTCGTGCTGGGTGGATGACCCCCTACATTACCATACATGCTTAACTACGAGATTAAATAAAGTCCAGCCCTGGACCCGCTGAGTGGCAAATGTTTGCCCTCGTGCCTATGGCGAAAGCGCATATTCTTCCTCAAGACACGTAAGTGTTTCTCGACTGTCAGAAGCTAACGCTATACGCTTTTGTTTGATAAGATCAAAAACATTCGGTGCGAGTAGGCGCCTTACTAGGGAACTTCATAAATGGATTTCGAAAATAACCCCTCTACCTTCCTGAGGCCCGCACTTTTAAGCTCCTCCTGAAAAACTTTTACAAAGATCATGCCACTTATACCCATCTTGCTGCAGAAACCCAGAGACAGTTTCTCTCTCACCGGAAAAAACATCCAATAATGATTTTGGTGCTTTTTCAGTATCACACACACACACTCTCGAGACAAGCCTATAATGAAGGGCACAGATGCGCACTGCGGAGTGGCCGCCCTACCACTCCGCCTAGCCCCACTAAACTCCATATCCAGAGCTGAAATCCTAGTTGCCACTTCTTTTGATCGTGGCGGCCACTGCGCTGCAGGAGGGATACAGTTTCAGAACAGCTGCATCCATGACTTTGTCCATTATAAGATAGGACAACACTTGTTTGGAATCGAAATATCCCTCCAACAACGTATCCTAAGCCATGTTCAAGTACAATACGCAGCCACGCCTACTATATCGCTGAGATGTGTAGTGTACGTAAGCAATCTCTTCCAAAAATACCAGAAACCGAAGAAGTTAAGCTAAGAAAGGTTGTATGAGGGTCCAATTCAAGCGCTGTACCTGCTCTCGTTTTGCCCTCAGCTCGTTCTCAAATGCTGCCGCAGTGCTGCGAACATTGCCGATGCTACGATGATTCTCTTTCTCATCTCGTTCTGAACGATTATGAGAAGTAAGCGGTGTGTCATCCAATTTTGGAGGATCCATACCGAAATAGCATTCTGGCAGGCGTTTCGCATTCTCTGCAAAAGTAACATCTGGCAGAAAAAACGTGTCGCAGTTCTTCGAGATTTGACTTCATGATATCACCTTACCTCGTTCCTCGTTCCTGAGTTTTCTCTCCTCATCACGAATCCAACTGAAGTCGATGTCGCTAGATTCGCCTCGTGCCTGCGACGTCGCTAATGATGATCGCGATCCGAATGCGGATTGCGCTCTGAAGCAAGTATTTTAGCGCCAGAGAGGGGAGAATGCATCAGGCAGCGTTCTGACTTGTCGCGCTGTGCAAAGCTACAATCGCAGAGCTGCAACTGCAGCGCGACGATTGCAGCGCTGCGCAGCGCGACAAGTCTGAACGCTGCCTAAGTAGTGACTCACTTTGGCATGGCATAGGTATCGTTGTTGTTAATCCAATCTTTGTTTTCGTACTGCTCACGTCTTTCTACACGTTCCGTACGCTGCACTTTGATTTCGACCGATTTCGGCTTGTTCTCCTGAAACGCAGCGG